CTTTCTCCTCATATATGAGGAGCCTTTTTGATCGAATGACCAAATCTATAAAAGTTAGGGCGTTTGAATCTTTACCGATTCTCGGAGTGAGATCCCACTCTTAGTTTCATCATTTGGATTCTGAGGGTGGAGATCCACCTTGAGTTTCCTTTCCAACTGGAGATAGAATATAAAATTCTTTCTCTCAGTGCCCGGGAGATAGAATATAAAATTCTTCCTCTTCATTTTCCAGTCCGTCTTTACCCTGAAAGACATAATTTTCACTTCCACATCGGGCACTTGTGCACGGGAATTTTATCTCAACTCCTAAACAGAGATAAGTCTACGCCTAACACGCGTTGCCGGTTTAGTCTTTCACCGATTGAAAAAGAAACCAGAGTATAATTCTGGGGACTTTCATCCCGAATCTTAAGTAGGGATGAGTCAACGCCTAATACGCGTTGCCGGAGCCATGTTCCCGTAAGAAATGACGAAGTCTATGTATTCAAAGTCATAGCATCAAGTCTAGAGAAGCAATTCTCTTGGCACACACGTTACATGTTGAACGGTTTTAATAATTCACTGCTAGCCCCGATTCAAAACGGTAATCGTAAAGGCACGTACAAACCCGTTGATGGCTGGGGGTTTGCCAAAAATCCCAAAGTCTATGTCTAACACGCATTGCCGGTTTAGTCTTTTTACCGATTGAAAAAGAACACCAGAATCCGAGTCTGGGGATTTTTATCCTGAATCCTAAGTAAGGATAAGTCAGCACCTAACACGCGTTGCCGGGTAGTCTATTCCCGTGAGAAAGACGAAGTCTACGTATTCAATATCGTAGCACTAAAAGGTTAACTCTTTTAGCTTAACGTCACATGTGGAACGGACTTAAACAATCCGCATGCTAGCCCGACTCAACGCGTAGTCGGTAAAGCTCATCAAAACCCGTTGATGGCTGAGAATTTGCCAAAAATTCTATAAGTAGCGAGTCATTGACGTATCAGCTTCATTAGTTGGTCTCATGACTTAAAACATCCAACAAACTTCAGGATAAGATCCACACGGTGCAGATGAATCAGCTTTAATAGTTGGTCCTGCAGCCCAACATTCGGGACCGTCACGCTCCAATGCCTTAAGAGCTTAAAACTGTGTAGACTCAGCAAACGTACGAGTATAAACTGTGTAAACGCGCGTCAACGCGTTACAGTAAGATCGATGCCGTCAACAGCATCAGGCCAATTTCGCCAAAGTAAGGCAAAGATGACTAAGGATTTCAGTTACAATCAGATATGAATTCCCGACGCGAGAGGATTAGTTCAAAGTCAACTCAATTGGCACGAGCTAGGTTCAGAAACTTACACACCAATATCAGTTCAAGATTTCGACAACGGTCAGACGATAAATGCAGCGCGGAAGAACTTCATCTATTCGACGCGAACAATGAATAGATTGAGGCTGAAAAGTTAAGAATTGAGGTAGTTAAGGTCGCTCTACGAAATAGAGGAGATGGCCTATCTTATCCAAAGCATTCCAGACTTCTCTATAAAAGAAAGAGTCTGAAATACTTTGGAGGGGGTATCTGTAGGCGTCTAAAAATGCCTATGGGTGCCCGCACACAGCTCAAGACAAAGAGAAGGTTGTAATGAACGTCGTTATCCGAATCAAGAGATTATCCAACGCGACAAGCGCATGAAGCGAATTGGCAAACTGTTGATGACACGAACAACGAACCACCACAATGGAAAACACCAAGTGGACCGCATGCGTTAATCAACTCAAAGCGTACAAACGCACCCAACAGTCAGTTAACACGCACGCATCATTCAGCTCGTGCATGTCAATCAGTGCGCGGCGTCAGTCAGTTCACGATGGCGTTAATCAACGTACATTAATCAACTCGGTGGAGCATACAAGTCAACACGACGGATGAGTAAACAAAATAGGAGAAAAACAAGTCCCGGAAGATCGAAAAGTCGTAAAAACACAAGAAATCAGCGAAACTCAGCGCGCCGCGCGAGACGGACCAAACCGACCGCGCCCACGCGGGTCGGCCAAGTCCGACCCGCGGCGACGCGGTCGGACAAAGCCGACCGCGGCGGCGCGGGTCGAACAAAGCCGACCCCGCCCACGTGGGTCGGCCAAGGCCGACCCGCGGCGGCGCGGACGGCCAAGTCCGACCCGCGGCGACGCGGGTCGGACCAAGCCGACCCGCGCGCCGAGCGGGTCGGTCATGGCCGACCCGCGGTGGCGCGGGTCGGCCAAGTCCGACCGCGCTCGCGGCGGGTCGGATCGCGCCGACCCGCGCAAGCGCGGGTCAGACTTGTCCTGCCGCACTGTTTCGTCCCGCGGTTCGGTTTGGATGGTTTTCTCGAGGATTTGTTGGTTCCAGGGGTTTCTAACTGACCTGATATCATCCCCAAACGTGGTTAGGCTGTTGTTAACTGAAGATAGAGCCAAATCACTTGTTCTCATCCAAATAACCGCTTCTGAAGCCCTATAAATACAAACCTAGGGCCTCCTTTCAGCAGGGCAGGGTTTATCGGTTTTAGGGGTTCTTAACTGACTTGAGATCATCCCTAAACGTTGTTAGGCTGCTGTTGACTGAAGATAGAGCCAAATCCCTTGTTCTTATCCAAATAACCGCATTTTGAGGCCTATAAATATGAACCAAAGGCCTCCATTTTCTGGGGCGATTGATTATCAAGACGAGGAGGTGCTGCCGGATTGTGGAGTCAAAGGAGCACGAATTTCAGCGAGGGTTGACAGATCTTGGCAAGTTCTTCGGCATAAAGAAGGAGAGTTCGAGAGGTCCGACACCCATTCCCGTCCGTCCCTTGAGATTAGGCTTGGTCTTAATCTCGAGAAGAGCCCTGATTTCGCTTGGTCGATCTCAGCGCTTTAAATCAAATACTTCCTCGGTGAAGACGAAGCTCTGCCGAATTTTTCATCAACTGGATCCAGATCTAAGGCGGTCCACGGATAAACCCCGGCACATGCAAAGATCCCACGCAAGCAGACGACCGATAAACGATCTCTGCGTTTGTTTTGACGAGAGTTGTAACTTTTGTTTTCATTGTGTAAAGATCTTATAAAAAGATTATCTTTTTGTTTTCATTGTAACGACCGAAGTTGTAATGAATACCGCAATGAATACATTAACTTTCTACGCAAACACTAGTGATCTATGTGTGGCAGGAGCAGAAGCTATTAAAAAGAAGGAGAATAGGCATGTCGTTAATATGATTAACGGTCAAATGCTATTATCATAGCTCAAGAAACAAATGGATTTACAAAATGTAATGACTGGTTATCCATTGCCTATTTACAGTTTCCAACACCAACCACCTCAAATGCACCAGTTCCAAAGTAAGTCATTTAATCAACCAAGCTGGCAAGGGTTTCTCAAACTTCTCAGGGTCAATCACGAATGTCATAAGCTCATGAGAGCAAAATGTAGGAAATGGGGTCATTTGTCAGCTTACTTAAGGAGAAACAAAACTTTCATCCGAATTGATGCTTTATGTTCAAGTCTCAAGAGTCAAGACTAATCAAATTTAGTTTAGTAGTATGTTTTCCTGCTTTTAGTTGAAGTTTATGTTCCAAAGAGTGATTTTCTTTATTGTCAGACAATCAAATTATGATTTTGTAATGTTTAGATTATATCATATGTTGGATGGTTTTTATGTTAGATAATCTTTTTGCAAGGATGCTGTGTATTTAAATGGAGTTTTTATGACTTCCCTGTATGTTGTGTATATGTTGTGTATTTGTATGGAGTTCTTATGTTCATGTGAATTCTTATGTTCATGGAGCTTTGGGGCTGTTTTTCCAGTTACACATATGATTCGAGTTTGTTTAGCTCTCGATTGTTGGGTTTTATGGTTCGAAATGGTGCTCGTTGTCGAGCTTTGAGGCTGTTTTTCCAGTTACACATATGATTCGAGCTTGTTTAGCTCTTGATTGTTGGGTTTTTTGGTTCGAATTTGTGCTAGTTGTCGAGCTTTGGGGCTGTTTTTCCAGTTCCATATCATCATCACCATTACATTTTCCATCAGAATTGAGTTGCAATCGAGAATAATTTGGAAGTCTTGAAAGCTCCACAAACTGAGCAAGTTTATATAGCATCTGTCAACTTGTCCTCAACTCTCCATTGTTGGTGTCATATTCCAAACATAGATAACTACGCTCAACCTTGACCTTCTTATGGTCAGTTTAAGTTCATGAAACCTATGAGCATTCCCCTCTATATCTCCAATGCCTGAAAAGAATTCAAACACTAAACCAAGTGCTTAGATTGTAACGCTTGTTATGAGAACTGCATTCATCTCTTGTGTGCGAAATAAGTCAGAACCAAATTGAATCACGCTGGCAATAAGACAATTCTAAAACGAATATGTATTTTGTGATTAATTGGAAGTACGCAAATGATTCCAACGTAATTAGTTTAGCTTGCGATTGAATTGTAAAAACTTTTCATGCATATTGTGAGAAGATTTATGGAGTCAGACGGTCTTAAATTCTGTAGACCATGAAAATACAATTTGTTAAATAGATGGTTGCACTTGTTTGGCTTGGTGGCCTTTGTCAGCTCACCCAGGTTAAATAGATGCTAGATTTTCTAAGACTGTCAACAGTTTATTGGGTCTTTCTTCTTTTTGGATTGTTTTCTAGTGCTTCAATTAGAACACTAATCTTCCATGCTTAAATCTATATTGTGGATGTTAAATCTTCTGTTAACCGCTACATATTTATGGGTTGGAATTTTGTATCTTTCAATTTCTTAGGTGTTGATTGTGAATCAAGTTAATGTTTTTGAACTATATCTACCATTCTTTACAACAAGTTGTCTAATTTTTTCGTTTTTAATTTGGTTGAAGATGAATTCATTTGAAGATTTTACAAGCAATCTTAGTGTTGATGATTTTTTCGTTTTTAATTTGGTTGAAGATGAATTCATTTGAAGATTTTACAAGCAATCTTAGTGTTGATGATATTGAAGCACTTGATGATGAAGATGATGAATTCATTTGAAGATTTTACAAGCAATCTTAGTGTTGATGATATTGAAGCACTTGATGATGAAGATAATCTTATAGAGGCATTGCTTTTGAATGATGAAGATGAGGATGAGTACATGTGGAATGAGATGATTACAAGCGTCATTCATCAATTAAATGTGATGAAGCAGGTTCCTCGACTATGTCGAACTAGACCATTCTCTGGTCATATGCTTGTAGAAGATATGTTGGCTGGACATCCTGATCGTTCATATTCTTGCTTTCGAATGAGTTCTAAGGTAATTCTTTTGCTTAAAAATGTGCTAATTGAGAAGAATGCTTTAAGGCCAACTAGATATTTAAGCTGCATTAACAACTTTGTATATTTCTATACGGAATTTTGCATGCCCTTTCAAATCGAGTATTAGCTAAGATATTCCAACATTCAGGAGAGACTATTAGCAGACATTATAATAATGTGCTTAATGCTATTTTTATCTTTGAAATAAGATTATATCCAACTTCTCATGGCTGACGTAGACGATCATCCTAAGATTCGAGAGAATCCCAATTTCTTTCCATATTTCAAGGTAGAGCTAAATGCATATATTTTTTCAAATATTTTTTAATGTGTATGTGTATATGTTTCTGTACATTAGAACTTTACACATTTTTATATTTGCAGAAAGCATTGGGAGCAATTGATGGATCTCATATTCCTATAATTGTGAAAAAAAGAAACACAACAGGTATCGTAATTGAAAGAATTTCATATCTCAAAATGTAATGGCAGCGTGCTCCTTTGATCATACTTTTCTTTATATGGCTGCTGGATGGGAGGGGTCAGCATCTGATATGTCAGTACTTCGTGCAACACTAGAAGATGGTAAATTTAATGTTCCTGAAGGTAAATTTTAATATTTTTCCTTCTGTTTTTTAGAAGCAATTAGTACTAAAGTCAGATAATTTTAAATATGTAGGTCGATTTTACTTAGTTGACTCGGGATATGCTAATACTTCAAAATTTATCGCCCCATATCGTGGATCACGCTATCATCTTGGAGATTTTGCAAATAGGACCACCAAAGCTTATCGAGATACTAAAGACAAATATAATCATAGGCATGCACAACTACGTAATGCAGTGGAAAAAGCATAGGGAATTTTAAAGCAAAGATTCAAAATTTTAAAAGTTACTGCTCCATTTCCTTATAAAACTCAAGTCAAAATCGTTGTAGCTTGTTGTGTTCTTCATAATTTTATTGCAAGGCAGCAGAGAAATGATAAATACTTTAATATGCTCAATGGATTAGAGATGCATGAGGATGAAGATGAGGTGGAGGAGGAAGAAGACACCCAATACATGGTTGGTGCAGATGAAAGTTTAAGGGGTGAGCAGCTTCGCAACAGGATTGCTTTACAGCTTTGGAATAATTGAAATATGTAGTTGTCGAATATTGAAGCATAAGGAGGTTGAATTATGTCTTTTACTATCTTTATATGAGAAAAACTTATAATTTTATACAGAGCTATTGATCGAGTAGATTGTTTTTTCCTTGAATAATCAAATCTTTTTTTCTTGAATAATCAAATCTTTTTTGCCACGTTTATTGATAGATAAGAAACCATATAATATTTTGTTAGCTCATTATCTCACTTTAGCAACTGAAATAAAGTGAAATTGGTAATTATTTTAATTTACATTCTGAACAATCATTTATTGAATAATACCAAATTGTCATTTTAGCGTTATGTCAAAAAAATTATGTATCCCTCGTGTCTCAACTGAATTACATATTAGCGCTTCAAATCTTTGAAATTGCTCGGAAGGTAAATAACGTGAAAAAGATATTAATGAGGCAATTAGTTATTAATTTGTAGTAAGGGCAAAAATGGTATTTTTAAAAAAATTAATGAGATTAATCTCCTTATCCCTTCTTCATTTGCCAAACACAAAAGTTTTAACCCCTTGTCTTAACTAGTGAATCCAAACGGAATTAGAATATTTTTAACCCTTCACAATGGATTAACTAAGTAAACCCTTCTCCTTAACCTCTCTTCCTTAACACTTTGTCAAACGGGGCCTTAGAGATTTCACGTGGGGGATAAAAAAGGATAAAAGTAAAAGTGTTTTTACCTTTTACTTCCAGAGAGATCATGAGTTTTGAAGCCAAGAGGTAGAAGGGATTTCCCATCTTTACAAAAACATTATAAATTTATGTTATCAATGATAAATATACTAATTTTCAATTGAGAAAAAAAAAGTAATATCTGAAAATTATCAGATCTAAAAGGAACAGAAATCCTATCATAAGTAATCCTATTGGAGCAGGTTGGTTTGCAACGAAATAGTTAGATTTCCAAATTATCCTTTTGCCCACCCATAAAAAAAAATATAATCATTCTCATTTATGCAGGTTTCTGATAAAATTTGAGGATGAAGTTGTCTCGATATACTAACACCTCACTTGGTCATGGTGGGTTTAATACTTTAATAGACCACATTGAGACTCCACTAACGGCAGACAAACTATATAACAGCCTTTAAAGTGTTAAATGTTTTAAAGTGTAAAATGAACTCAAGGGGCTGTATGGTTTGCTGTAAAAATAAATTACAGTAAATGTTGTAGCAACAAATGTTGCATGCACTATTTGCTGCACGAAATCAACTTTAAATTCACAGTTTGGATGATGTTTGTGATTATATTCTAGGAAACATATTTCCAATGCAAATCTAATATTTGGTTCAAGATAATTAGTGCAAAAACTACATAATTTTGCCATATAAAAAAAAAACGTTGGTGTGGATAGTTTTCTATTTAGATTTAAAAAGTTTTTTTGATGAGGTGGAATTTAAAGCTGAAGCTGAAGGCGGTCGACCGCGCCAACCCTGTAGGATTTTTGGTCTCAGGTTTTTTGGTTCGGTCGACCGCCGCGGTCGACCGCTCAACTCTCTGGAATCTGAGGAGCTTCTGTCGTTTGGCACGGTCGACCGCCGCAGTCGATCGCGACGCAGTCAAACAGTTTCCTAAACTATTTTGGATTCTGTTTTCCCCATGACTCTATATATACCTTTAACGTTTTTAGGGTTGTAACAACATGAAAAAAGAGAGCTTTTTGACTGCAGAAAGAGAGAGAATCTCAGAGAGATTAAACCCTAGTTTGAGAGCTTGTATTCTTCCTTCAAATAATAAAGAGATTGTGTGGTGTGGCTCCCGAGGACGTAGGCACGTTGCCGAACCTCGTTAAATCTGTGTGTTCATCTCCTTTACTATTTTTGCAAGGTTAGATCTTTATTTGTGGTATTATTCCTACTTTTCTACTTTCAACACAAGGTCCGGAAGGGTAAGGGTTCGATTGATTGTTTCGAATCCCCAACAACTGGTATCAGAGATTCGTTCAGCAATTTGTGTAAAAGTTATGGCAGAGGAAAACAAATCAAAGATCGAGAAGTTTGACGGTTCAGACTTCGCCTACTGGAAGTCGCAGATGGAGGACTATCTGTACCAGAAGGACTTGTATCGTCCGTTGATGGGCAAGGAAAAGGGAAAGAAGAAGGAGGAGTCAGATGGTGATTGGGAGATACTGGATAGGAAGGCTCTAGGGCAAATTCGGTTGTCGCTCGCCAAATCAGTAGCCCACAATATTTTGAAGGAGAAGACGACGATGGGGCTTATAGAAGCGCTCGCGAAGATGTACGAGCAACCGTCAGCAGCAAACAAGGTGCATCTAGTCAAAACTCTTTTCAACCTCAAGATGGCAGAAGGACGGTCCTTCACGATGCATCTCAACGAGTTTAACACGATTGTTGATCAGCTTATCTCCGTGGACATCACGTTTGATGATGAAGTGCAGGCCCTATTGTTACTATCGCAGTTACCGGATAATTGGGCAGGTTGTGTGACGATAATCAGCAATTCGACGGGGAAGGAGAAGTTGAAGCTGAGTGAGGTGGTTAGCATGATTCTATCCGAGGAGGTTAGAAAACAATTGTCCGAATCAGAAGGTTCAGGTTCAGCTCTAAGTTTTGAGCAGAGAGGCAAAAGCCAGAAGAAAGGAAACCAGAACAGGAATCGGTCAAAATCAGGAAAGAAGAGGTCAAACTCGAAGGTTAGTCCTATCAAAGGAAAGTGTTGGAACTGCGGCCAGGAGGGCTATATGTCTTCAGTCTGCAAAAGTCCAAAGAAGAATGCGGGTGAGCAGGAGGCTCATATCGTGCAGGATGTCTTGATTCTTGCAATGGATAGCGATTCGGATTCTTGGGTCATCGAATCAGGAGCCTCTTTCCACGCTACTGCTAACAGGAAGCTATTTCAGAATTATGTAGCAGGGGACCTTGGAAAAGTATATCTAGGGAATAATGAGCCCTGTAATATTGTTGGAAAGGGTAAAGTACAGATTCAGATGAAGGGCTCTAAGTGGACTTTGAAGAACGTGAGACACGTGCCGAAGCTGAAGATGAATCTTGTTTCGGTGGGACAGCTTGGAGCAGAAGGCTATGTTTCGACATTCACTGGGGATTCGTGGAGGATATCCAACGGTACGATGATAGTTGCTCGAGGCAACAAACTAGGAACTCTCTACCTCACCTTACTTGCGAGTGATACCCTCGCAATTACAGCTGGCAAAGAGAGTACAGATCTGTGGCACAACAGGCTAGGGCACATGAGCGAAAAGGGGATGAAGATTTTGCATTCACAAGGAAAGCTAACCGGGATCGACGCTATGGAAGTCGGAGTTTGTGAAGACTGCATCTTTAGAAAGCAGAAGAGGGTTAGTTTTCAGAAGGGTGGAAGGCCAACTAAGGCTCAGAAGCTAGAGTTGATTCATACAGATGTATGGGATCCAGCCAGTGTGTCTTCTTTTGGCGGTTTGAGATATTATGTCACCTTCATCGACGATCACTCGAGAAAGGTGTGGATCTACTTCATGAAGCACAAGTTAGAGGTGTTTGGAATCTTCAAGAAGTGGAAGGCCATGGTGGAGAATGAGACAGATCTGAAGGTGAAGTGTCTGAGATCAGACAATGGTGGGGAATACGAGCTGGATGAGTTCAAGAGGTTCTGTGCTACGAATGACATTCGGTTAGAGAGGACTACTCCAGGGACGCCGCAGCAGAACGACATTGCAGAGAGGATGAACAGGACCTTGACAGAGCGTGCCAGGAGCATGCGGTTACATGTAGGTCTGCCTAAGATATTTTGGGTGGATGTAGTGCATATAGCAGCCTACCTTATTAATCACGGGCCATCAGTTCCATTAGATTTTGGGATTCTAGAGGAGGTTTAGAGTGGCAAGAAGATAAATCTCTCACACTTGCGGGTATTTGGTTACGTGGCTTATGTTCATATCAGTGACCATGTTAGGGACAAGCTAGAAGCTAAGTCACAGAAGTGCACATTCATTGGATACGACATTGATGAGTTCGGGTATCGCCTCTGGGATGAGAAGAACATGAAGATCATCAGAAGCAGGGACGTGATATTCAATGAGGATGTGATGTACAAGAACAAGGAAGATGCCAAGGATAGCCAAAGCAATGGGAGCAGCATTTCAGATACAGATGGATCTGAGTACATGGATATAAAGGAACTTCCAGACATGGGAGATGATGTTTGTTCTGACCACAGAACGGAGGAGGCTCCAGGTGCAGAAGAAACTACCTAGTGCGTGGAGCTTAGGAGGTCATCTAGGGTACCCAAACCAAATCCTAAATATCTTTCATCTCTTGACTACTTATTATTGACAGATAGCGGTGAGCCGAAAAGCTATGAAGATGCAATGCAAGCGAGTGAATCTCAGCAGTGGGAGCATGCGATGCAAGAGGAGATGGATTCTCTACTCACTAATGAGACATGGGAGTTAGCTCAGCTACCTGCACAGAAGAAGGCCTTATATAACAAATGGGTCTACCGGGTCAAGCAAGAGAGTGATGGAAGCAAGAGATTCAAGGCCAGATTAGTAGTAAAGGGGTTTCAACAGCGGGAAGGAGTGGACTACACGGAGATATTTTTCCCTGTTGTGAAACTCACAACCATCAGAGTGGTGTTGAGTTTGGTGGCTGCAGAAGACCTCTTTCTTGAGCAGTTAGATGTGAAGACTGCCTTTCTTCATGGTGACTTGGATGAAGAAATCTACATGAAGCAGCCTGTTGGCTTCATTGAAGAAGGAAAGGAAGAGATGGTGTGCAAGCTTAAGAAGAGCTTATATGGTTTGAAACAGGCTCCGAGACAGTGGTATAAGAAGTTTGATAACTTCATGCAGAACAATGGCTACAGAAGATGCAATTCAGATCATTGCTGTTATTTCAAAAGGTTCGAGTCCAGCTTCATTATTTTGTTATTGTATGTTGATGATACATTGGTAGCAGGACCGTGTTTGGAGGAGATAAACAGTTTGAAGAAGCAGCTAGCAAAGGAATTTGCAATAGCAGGACCGTGTTTGGAGGAGATAAACAGTTTGAAGAAGCAGCTAGCAAAGGAATTTGCAATAAAGGATCTGGGTGTAGCGAAGCAGATTCTAGGGATGCGAATCAGTAGGGATGAAGCTGAAGGGACATTAAGATTGAGCCAAGCTGAATACATTAAGAAGGTACTTCAGAGGTTCAACATGCAGAATGCTAAAGTTGTTAGCACACCCCTTGGAGGTCAGTTCAAGCTATCTGAGGAGCAATCGCCTAAGATAGAAGCAAATAGAGAACATATGAGTAGGGTGCCATATTCTTCGGCCATTGGGAGTCTTATGTACGCGATGGTTTGCACGAGACCAGACATCGCCCATGCAGTGGGAGTTGTGAGCATATTTGCAAGCAATCCATGGAAGCAACATTGGGAGGCCGTGAAGTGGATAATACGATACTTGAGAGGGACAACGAACAATCCATTATGTTTCAGGAGGAAAGAGTTGGTATTGTAGGGATACGTGGATGCGGACTTCGCCGGTGATCATGATACGAGGCGAAGCACCACAGGGTATATTTATACCTTAGCATCGACAGCAGTGAGCTGGGTCTCACGTCTGCAGAATATTGTGACTTTGTCTACAACCGAGGCTGAGTATGTCGCGGTGACTGAAGCAAGCAAGGAGATGATCTGGTTGAACGGGTGCTTGGAAGAGTTGGATCTGAAGCAAGGGAGATGAGTTCTTTATTATGATAGCCAGATCGCTATACATCTTGCCAAGAATCTAGTATATCATGCCAGAACAAAGCACATCGAAGTCAAATACCATTTTATACGCTCGCTAGTTGAAGACGAAAAGTTGCATTTAATGAAGATTTTGGGGAGTCAAAATCTGGCGGACATGTTGACGAAGGCAGTCACCATTGAGAAACTGGAGTTGTGCGCAACTTCAGTTGGCCTTCACGAGTAGAAGATGAAGGCAGAGCCACACTACGAGGATCGACACGATCGCCGAGATATTGTTGATTGAAGAAAGAATTTTCTGGGGGAGAAGATACATGCGAAGAAGGGGAGAGTTAGGGTGAACTCACTGCAGGCACTTTAGTCTCCAAGTGGGAGATTGTTAGTCTAAGGTGTAGATCCAAAGTCGAGACAAGAGCTGGAATCAAAACGACGAGAAAATAAGCAGACAGATCCACGGTCGACCGCGACGGTCAAGCGCGAACGTGCACAAGAGTTGGGAGGCAGCCTGAAAGTGCGACGGCTAGGTCGACCACTGCGGTCGACGCGGCCAACCCTGTAGGATTTTTGCGTACTCGGGTTTTGGATTCGATCGACCAGCCATGAGCGGTCGACCAGCTCACTCTTTGGAATTTTGAAGGGAGCTTTTTGTCGTTTTGCACGTCGAGCCGCCGGCCGAGTCGAACACCTGCGAGAACCTACGGCGGTCCGACACACGTACGCATCGGACCGCGACGCAGTCAAACAATTTCCTAAACTGTTTTGGATTCTGTTTTCCCCAGGACTCTATATATACCTTAAACGTTTTTAAGGTTGTAACAACACGAAAAAAAGAGCTTTTTGACTGCAGAAAGAGAGAGAATCTCAGAGAGATTAAACCCTAGTTTGAGAGCTTATAATTCTTCTTCAATTAATAAAGAGATTGTGTGGTGTGGCTCCCGAGGACGTAGGCACGTTGCCGAACCTCGTTAAATCCGTGTGTTCATCTCCCTTACTGTTTTTACAAGTTAGATCTTTATTTGTGGTTTTATTCCTACTTTCCTACTAGCTTTTCCTCCCATCAAATTGGCCATAGCATTTGTTGCGAGTTTTTTTGCCTATAAAATGTAAGTTCATTTACCTTTCCTAGCTACAAAATTGTAAACTAAATAATGTATTTACAAATCCACCAACTCTATTTACACTTTCAACTCCATTTCCATCCAACCAAACAGCATCTAAGATGTGATCCGCATAGTTTATGGGGCCTTGCTAAATAAGCCTAGATCTTAACACGAGAATGAAATAGACAGTGTGCTTTTGATGAAATAGAAAGCATACTTATGCGCAGGGGGAAAAAGCAATTGGAGCTCTATTCGCACTATTAGAACATTCCATACTCCTCCTTAGAACTTTTTTTTGACTCTTTTAGAAGTAAAGAAAATTCACTCAGAGGGTCTATCCATACTAATAGAACTAAGGGGGTTATCTGCAATTGGATGATACTAAAGGACTTTATCTGCAATTAACACTAATCAGAACACTTCCCAAATATATAGGAGCCTTATCGTCAACGTCTTTAACGCAAATGAGATCGTGTTTACCATTCTTTAAGGCGTGGTTTGGTAGGAGGGAAGGTGAGGGACAAAAAATAGACTTGTATGCAGTACTTGAGAGTTTTTCTGAGAGAGAGGTGGAGTGAAGTGAGGTGAAGGAACAAACAAAATGAACTAGAAGGACACAAGCGAAGGGGGAAAATGAACTACAAACATATTCACCTCCTCTTATGGCTAAAAGGGATATTCAGCTCTGCACCTGATTGCATCCCCCACCCCTAACCACCAAGGAAAAAAAAGGGAAAAAAAAGAAAAGAAAACAACTCTGCCTCTCCAAACTTTTACTGAATACAGCCTCCTTAACAGTGTACATGCTTACAAACTTCGCTTAATCTGACAGAAATACAAACAGCATCTCCAATACGCCTTATACTTTAATATGATCCTCATTTACATTTTAATATATCTTATTCCATATACACAAACTCGAAAAGTCGAGTTAAAAACTTTGCTGCTGTTGTTGTCGTTAATATTTCATATACACAATACGATGTTATGCTATAAGTGGTCTCCAAGCTGAGATGGAGCTGATGGTGCCTTTAGTCGCCATCACCTTTCTCACGAGTGTGTTCCACATCGCCTCTTCTTTCTTGTTCGGGTGCATCTTATCCTTGAAATGCCTGCTTCAACATGGTAAATAATTTTAGATCCACTGAGCAATCAGCCACGGCAATGCGAATTGTCTAAACTTGCATATGAGAACTAATAACGATATTTTTGTTAGTTTTGAAGAGCTACAGGAATTTTCTGTATAGTTAAACAAAAACATATAAACTAACTGGAGAACTTGACTGTGATTCTTATTAGAAATTTAGATAGTGATTACCTCATAGTCAACATCACAGATGATTTCATAAACGTTCGTATTTCACTATTACAAAAATGACGATTTCATTAAAATTTAATTAAGTAGGTTTGCCATCATATCATGTGTACTTATTTAAGGATGCAGAGGCACAAACATGTTGCATAAGTTATCAACAATATAAAGCATGATGACTTCAAAATCGGTCTAGGCTCACGTCAAAAGTCTGTTAGATCAGCAGTTGTTCGATGTGTACCAGGCATTTCAAAGGCATTCACATTTTCAGAAAATACAGCAAATTGTGCATCGAAACTATGCCAACTTTTAGCAATTTCTAAGATCAAATATTGGACATGCAGAGCTCCATGGTGCTTAAATACAAAAGGATTTCTTGGCATAATAAAAACACTATATTAGAAGTACCAAAAAACCTAGCAAAGACGTGAAAGAATCCATACACCTGTATTAGATGACGCCTTTGTTGAAACCAGTAAGATTTTATTATGTTTTTCTCTCTATTTTTAACAAAACATGGTTTTTATCGTCTCTAGGCGCCTTTGTTGCATATGATGTTTTCATCCATGTCCGACTTTTAAGCATACTCGTAAAAAGAACTATATTGTGCAGTGTCATATCCGTGTTTCACCTTCTCTTTCTTGCTTCCCACTGTCATTTCTAAGATCAAACTGACACTCCAATTTCCAAAAAGATTTATATCCAAGTATCGTCAAAAAAAAAAAGAACTTGAAGTGTACTATCAGCTACTCATCAATATAGGAACAATTAATGACCGATGCATAAACAAACCTGCACAAAGGGACCTTGCATAAGTCTGGTTCAGCACACATGCGAGAATGGAGCTCAAGGAGCTGCCGCATGCGCTTGCAATGTTGGCATCCACCTGGGACTTGTGCCTTGCAGCCTAAGAAATGGCGGAGCAGTGATTCAAGCACTTTGCAGGCTGGATAGTTGCAAGTGCGCTGGCTGTCATTCAGGATTTTGTCACGAGGTTCAATTGTGCGACACCCATCTCTACTTATGTGGAGAAGAGCTTCCATTGCTTCATATAGTTGTACATATACCTTCCTCTCTTCAATCCTTTTTCCCTTTTCTTGCAATTTCTGCATTCATGACAATATGATGATCGTCTTTTCAGACTATTAACAAGAACAAGGGGAGAATAAGGGGAACTAACACAGCTTAACACCGATAAATTTTTAAGCTCATTCTTTAAATAATACGCTAAATCACTGTGGGAGACCCGGCAATCTGAATTTATTGCAAAAGCTCATACCTAAAAACATCAAGATGAAACATGAACCAAACTTACTGAATCTGCCTCCACAAGGGATTCTAGGAGCTCTTGTTCCAGACTGGGATTGGTATGCTTCATAACTTTCCATCCTTCTGACGCTGAGATAGTCTTAAAATCTTTAATGATCAGACGGATGCACATTAAAGAAAGTCGGGGAGCATCGCACTTTCTAGCCAACTGGAGAACATCAACAACATTGTCAGTTGTCAATAATGATCGTTCTAGTTCACTGATGCATGCTCTTTTAAGCGAGGCGACTGCAAACGAGTGAGACAGGACAAGCAAGTGAAGTACAAATCTCTTCATATCCTCAGGATCATAGCTGTGCATCGAAGAAACTGAACGTAAGAGCTTCAGTTATGATCTAAGAATAGACACAAACACAATATTGATATGGATACACAACATGGTATGATAAAGAGAGTTCATAAAACATGTACATAACTGAGCAACCCTCGTCCAAAAACATTTCTAATAATATAATAATAACATACATCGATTACATACAGGCTAAAACTTTAACATATCATACATTTATGACCTCATAGGCCATGGCTTTTGAACTTCCAACAGATTAATTCAATATCCTTTCTTCTTACAGTGAACCATATCTGAACTTGTCATAATCTTACACAAAGTCAACGTTGCCATGGCCTTGTTCGTCTTAGTATTTGATATGTAAATGAAAATAGATCACTTGTAATATGGATGAGCAGATTAAGAAGCATACTAAATTTATATGACAAAATATGATTGAGATATGTCTAACGATTGCCCAAGGAGTGTCCCAAAAGTAGGGTGCTCTACACAAGTATTGCTTCATGATAAAATTGTCTATGCCATATAGATCATAAGACCATCATTGTCAATCAGTACAACAAAATATAAAGATGAGGTAGTTGTCAACGTAACTTCTAGTTCCAAATTCCTTTTGGAGGCAACTATCAGTGAATAAGGAGATTGCTGCGACACCTCGTAGGTACACTAAATCTATGTAAATCAAACAACTCCAAACTTCCCTAGCCTATGAAAAGGCACATAAGAAAAAGAATGATTAGCCACAAGGGAGCAAGCGAAGTCAAAATCTCATCGCAAAATTGACCATATAAAGAGTGCAAATAGAAAATTACGCCACGGCATATCTGACCAATTCCATTTGAATAACTCATGAAATGTTCAAACCAAATTGGAAGTTGTCCAGTTTACAAGTCAAATCATGTATTTATTGCTGAGAATGATTAAGAGGGATTTAGTCCGCACTCAAAAGCATTGTAACTGAATAATACTAGGGATCGGCATTTACAGTCCTTGGGATTAGAATTTGACCATTTCTCATCCAAAACTAGAAAAAAAGAGACAATATTTCCATCTCAATTTATCATAGTCATCAAATGTAAAAAATCCATCACTTCAATAAACCTTTTCTTCCCTATTTATCACCAAGACTGCTGATATCTAGCCACCATGTTTGCTGCAACCAGTAACTTTCCCATTGCTAGTGAACCTCACTGTTAAAATGCCACCAACAACATGATGATGTTGCCCCTTGGACCTAACACTGCCATCATGATGGCCTGGGATCCGCTGTGCTGTCAACGATGGCTCTGTCACTGGAGGTTCCTACTGCTATAGCAGTTCACAAATATGTTGTGGCATGTGGCACACCTAGCAACTATTGGTGATACTTGTCACAATGTTGAGTTTGCTTGCCATTTTCATTGGTCTCTACTTCTTGACACGTATGGATTCTCTACAGAAGGGGTATGCCTTGCATTCCAGAGCTTGTCCAATGCAAGTCAATGCTAAATTCAAATTTGAAGTACAATAAGAGGGCTAGGTCCTGTGTTCAGATCACCTGGCCTTTATGAATTTCTCTGTCAAATATGTTGATTTGTTTTTTCAAATCCTTTCTAAAGGAGCCAAGACTGTATACACACACACACACACACAGACACACACACACAGAGGCATTTTAAGCATGTCCTGCCCATATTCTATGACATTTCACGTTTGATGTATCTATGCTATGTCGCTCTTGTGTACATGTACCTGTATATTTAGGCTTAACAAGAAACCCTCGTAATCTATATATAGTAATATCAAAGTGTCTGAGAGACGGCAACTACCACGTACATTCTTTGTGTATCAGTGCATTCATGTGCAACTCCATATTGAAGATTATGTTTCTAGAAACATGGACTAAAACAGAGATTACAGGGTATTGCACTAGCATCATGACAATTTACCACACTAAGCATGATATTTTTTTCTTAAGTATGTAAATTCAAAGGGATATTTCACACACATACCATGATGAATATAGAAATCGAACAAATGCACGGGCAGCTTCTGAGGGCACACCGTGGATTTTAATACATCGGAAACCCTCTTTGACTTTTGATCTCTCCAACATACTTCTTAGCACAGAAGATGAAATACCCTGTTCAGAAGTTTATAACAACCATCATATTTAAGTAAATGATGAGTGATTAAACCCGGTGAAAAGGGCGCCTTAGGAACCCTCCAAGAGTTTTGAAGTAACTCTAGAGCATATTCCTGATGTCATGAAATTTGATTTTGGCTAAAACAGTCAAGTTATATATGGTCATATTTCTAAACAAAGAACTTTTAATTCGATGGAAGCTGGAATACTCCAATTTTGTTATATTCTCCTATTTTTCAAACTTAACTATTAGTTCTAATTATAAATGCCTGAATTATCAAAGGTCAACTCATATTAGGACCATGATGACGATATGGACAACTTTTTTGGCAATCCAGATGTTAAATATACCAGCTTATTGAAAATCACATCATCACGCCACTAACCTATCAGTGATAAACTCATAGTTGAAGGATCAATTCTTAACCATACCATTCCATACCTCTGGTATCAATGTAACACTAACCAGACAATCCACAATTGTTAGGCAGATACCCCTACCCTGCTACATGACATCATTTATGACATTTTAATTTTCGACTATGAATCAATATATCTTGTGCAATTAGGAAATCACTATGTGCTACTTAGTAAATAAATATGTATATCCAACATAGACTAAAAAATTGAAACATTCCTCCAATGGAATCTTAACTGGGACAAGATGCAAAATGATAAAACAAGCATACATCTACTAGCGAACATCAGTCGACACTGCTTCAACAGTTTTGACTCTTTAAAGAGTTTCTAAATAAAATTACATTTGGTCCAAAGCCAAAAATCTATAGCCCCAACATCTGTGAATATCTAAAATTCTGGAGCACCAAACAGAAGTAACTGAGCATATCCCGGTGCTTGATGAGCCAGTCACCAGAGAAGGGGAGGGGTGCTAGATTGTTGAAAATTAGTTCCGCCAGATTTGGCATGATTTGTGAAGAATATACAACCTAAAACTATGTTTTAACTTAAGTCAAAATTACAAGAACCATGTCCGCTGCAGTTAACTCATTAATAAGGCTTATGTCAGGGTCAATCTTCATGTTTGAATAAGTCTTGACCACACCTGAACTTAGTCTTTGAGATCCCTACGGACCCTAACCATTCAAATTCATTGGTCTGATGAAAACCGATTCCATTGAGATGAGAAACTAGATCATTAGGACTTATTAGATAACTATAATCTTGAAGACTCACAGCTTTGCAAAATACAAGTTATAAACATAAACTAAAGGATTTGTGATGTACTTACCAGAATATTTGAATGTGCCAAAATTATACCTTTGTCATCTATAAGAACATGGACATCAGCATGATATCCTTCAGTAAAAAGCCTGTCCCAAGCATGGCTTGTTTCATACAGGACACAATTGCAACTTGTTACCCTCTTGGAGATGTTGGTTTTTCTGTAAGATGCAGTTGGAAGTGGAGGTGGTTTAGGGATATTAACATTATTAGAAAGATAAGACGTTGAAGCATCAGGCTCGGTTAAAAATTCGGCCGAAATGCTATCCTCAAACTGTTGGTCGAATGAATCATCATATGATTGATGCTTTGAGAAGAGTTGTGGAGACTCAAAGTAAAGACATGCCATCCACTATTTCTGATGAATTATTTCCTGCAAAGCAGAAAAACAAAAATCTTGAATATGAGTATAGGCCATTGTTCAAATACCAAAAGATAGTAATATATCCACAAAATGATACATATGCTCTTAGCCATATGCCTAGAGACGATTGATACATGATTTAAGCATAAAAGGAATATATCCACAAAATGATACATATGCTCTTAGCCATATGCCTAGAGACGATTGATACATGATTTAAGCATAAAAGGGCTGGCCGCAAGACAAGCGTATTCTGAAAGGAAGCCCTCTTTTCATCAGAATTAAACGATCTCCATCTAAACTAAGTCTACAACACTGCCTGCGAGGAACGTAGAAATCTCGGGTGGACCACTTAATTTATATACAGTATCTACCCCGAATTGCAAGTTTCCTAAAGGGCATGATACCCTTTAAGTATCTCCGATTGATTGGAGACCAATGCATCACATTGACAAGGTTCAACCACATAACGACTTGAAAAATTAAATCAAGTTTTGCATATTAACAAACTTGGCTTCCAGTTCTCCAGAAAGGACGCATACGTGTATATGTATAAAACAGAAGTTTTATAAAAAAACTGACGTGAATTTTTTTTTTTTTTTTCCATTTCTGCTGTTTATTAACGTAAGAAACTGATTGCAGTGCTGATGATCAAGAAAAGGAAAGCCCACGCGAGTAGCTGCTCCGTACTCGAGATAAGGAGGTGACTTCAGTTCAATTAATGAATATGTAAGTACATAAAAAAATATTTATATCTTCAAGCACGAAACTAAAGGACCCACAAAAATGCTCAATCTTTCTGCACTTTAATCAAAAACATGATTGCATAAGTAAACCAATATCATCCTTATTCTCGTATAATCCGAGTAAAAATCACTTCATCATCCCACATAATTCCTGAAACAAGATCCAAACTAGAAAAAAATAGTGGAAGATTCTTGGGGTGGGTGGGGGGGGGGGGATGTAATTTAGAGATGCCTGTTATGTCTAAGACAAAAACAACAGAAATCGAAGATTTCTGTAGTCCTCTCGGATTTAAGTATCAAATTGCTCCCATATTCATACTACCGCTCCCAAAATCAAGATTAAATCAAGGACAAGAAAAATGAAACCCCAAAATTTTAATTAAAAAAGTCACCTTTTTCGATTTGTCGATCGACGACAGCGCTCGAATGGAAACTCTCTTTCTCTTTCTCTCTCTCTCGCTGCCCTCGGCACTCTTCCTTTATCTTCCGTAAGAAGAGAGGAGGAAGAGCGGAGGAGAGAGGATTTAGAGAGAGAAAGAGAGGAGAGAGAGACATAAGGAGTATTATTATTTTTTTGGATTTAAAAAAAAAGGTTTTGTCGCTTTTTGTATGCAGCGGTAGCACGACGAACAAAAAGCAGCCGCCCTTCACGTGTGAGACAACCGACCTCGTTCAAGCTAATAGTATGACGACACGTGGCAGGATTGAGGAGAGGGAGTCAGGAGACGGACTCGCGGGGGAGGCCGTGGACATGGGCCTACCTGGATCTTGTTTGATGGTGGGCTGGACTTGCATACGCCCACTCTGAAGTAGCTAATTCATGAGTTTATGGTTAGTTGGCTGTATACTCCTCCAATCTTACATAATTGCATATTTACCCTCAAAATCCTAGTAGTTGCCAACATATCCTCAAGTCCTCCCTAATTACATATTTAAAAAATTCTCATAATTACCAATATGTTCTCAAACCTTCCATAATTGAGCATTACCCCTCAAGTCTTCGATTGGAAAATGAAGAAAGACGAAGGGGTTGTGGCAGCTGGAAAGGAGAGGAGGGTTGTTTTGCTCAATTGACTCATATACCATTGATTTAGCAACTATGCTGCATTTGGAGGGTATGATAGCTCAAAGTTGAAGATTTAGGGGTATACTGGCGATTATAAACCCATGGGAGGTATATCTGTAATTATGAAAAATGTAGGGGATATATCGACAATAATGAAGATGTAGAGGGGAAATATGTAATTACGGAAGATCTCGGGGTATATAGCCAAATAATTCATAAGTTTATGGAATTATTTAATTTTTTACATTTGCCACTTTTTTTTTTTGTGTGTGCCTATTTACATGTAATCAACAACTACTATTATCTTACAAAATTCCTACTACTTGCATCCTGATAAATAAACCAAGCTAATTTGTGAGGAGCAACATCCTGAAAACACAAGTCTCTTTCCTCATGAATCTCTCTAGTAACCATCCAACGTGCACATTTGTTTCCTTCTCGAAGAGTATGTCGACGATCACTTCCACATTAGTGAAGGATGAAAAAAGTTTGCTAGTACTATCTTCAATATTGAACATGGAATAACCTCACATATTATTATCTGCTAGCAAACTTTATATGATCTCATTTGCATCACCCTCAAGGCATAGAGATGCACTTGGAATTAATAAGAGTTTTTGCTGCATTAGTAGCCTCCCAAGCTGCTCCAGCTTCCGCCTCAAATGCCAATCAAGCACGAATAACAACTGCTTTAGCATTTAAAAATCTCCCTTCCCAATCTCTGATCGATAATTAATATAACCTGCACAGCTGCTGCCCTAGCAATAGGATCAAAATAAGCATCAAAATTTGCTTTAAATTAACCATCCCAACTTCGGTGTCACCCATCGAACAAGATGACTAGTCATACAGTCAACACCACCTATCCTCCTCCTGGCCTCAACCCTAAACAAGTTATTTTTTCTAAGGGGTTTTTGCTTTTAGACCCATTTGTTTACTCTCATTTATCTTTAAACCCAAGTACTATTATTTGTATATTTAAACCCAATTCACTTTTTGTATTTATCTTTAAACCTAATCTCCAAAATACTATATTTTCACCACTTGTATTTATACACCATGAAGGTAAAAAAACCAAAAATACCACTTTCATTGCCAAATATAAACCAAGATCTCTCTCATAATTTCCCCCTTTCTCTCTCAGCCCTAAATTCCCAAAACGACCATGAACCGTCGTGTCGCCGATCGCCCA